TTTTTTATGAATTTTTTAATTTTGACATAAATAGTTTGCGTTTAACTGAATAAAAAAATTAATTTTAAAATGTATATAAATTGACTTAAGAATACTTTGATTGTCAAAATAAAATAAAAAAAAAAGAAAAGAAAAGGGAAAACCCTACTAGAAAATTATTGAAACCGTCGTTCGAAATAGAAACTTCAAAGATAGTTGCTGGAAATTTTCTAAAATCGTGACACTACAGTAAAATCCAAATAAAACTACATAAAAGCAAGCCATTCAAATGATCGTAAAATCAAGGTTAAAATAATAACATTAATCATATATAAATTCATCTCCTCAGATAATATGGAGCTCTTTATATATATATATATATGAACTTACATAAACAGATTTGAGCCAATTAAAGATTTTAATTAAGATATTAACTCTATAAAAATAAAACAAAATTTTTTATAATTTAAATTATAGCAAACTGTTACAAAAAATCATAAGATGGAATGGAAGAAGTACCGACGCTCATCCAATGGATGAGGTTTGGTCTACAATGTTGAACACTTTTTTTAATTTTATATGTACTAAAGCTAGTGATTCAAACTTAAGAGGGTGGTGTGGAGTGAATATACACTAGCATTATTTTCCCTGTGAGAATTAAGACGTTGTTTGAATAACGAGGGAAAAAAAAAAGAAGCCAAAAAAAAAAACGACCATCAACCAACATGAAACGGTTGATTGTGGATATAATTCGTTATTTTGCCTTAAAATTCTCCTGTTTCTTCATATTCCCCTCTCCTAATTAATATCTACCCACAATTGAGGATCTCTTCCTATCTCATTCCATACTCCATTCCCTCTCTTCAATTTTCTTCTTCTTCTTCTTCATTCACAAAGGTCCTTCATTAAGTCAACAGCAACATGGTACGTACATCTTCTCTCTTTTTCTTGATAATCAATGGTTCTTCTTTCATTCTATGTTAGAATTCAGTTTATTTGAACAGAAAAGTCCAAGGTTGTCTTCTTATAACATAGATGGAGGGGCAGCCCCTGATATTGGGGGCTACCCCTCCGTCAAAAGTTAAAAGTGCAGTTTGTTCAGGCAGATTGCAAAACAGCATTGATATCCTATTTTAAAACTGTACATCTGGTTTAATTTGTGCTACTTACCAAAACTGCACTTTTAAGTTTTCAAAATACAAAATTTTTTAGAGATACCAAACGGACCATAAAATATCATTCAAAAAAAGAGACTTTCTTTTCAAACTGAAAAAAAAAAAAAGAAGAAGTCAATTTATCATAAAAAATGGAATGAAATATATTATGCTCCCAAATGTCACCATTTAATCCTTATTTTTATGCCTTAGTTGATTAAAAATTTAAAATTTTAAGTTTAAATCTTGATTAGTCAAGTGGAGAGAGATTTATTTGGGAAAAATGGAGAATTATCACTTTTTATATAACTTATTATTTGATGTACTAAAAAAAGTTATTATGTGATTAATGAGATACTAATTATTTGGAAAGAATTGAGTATTTTTCGGTTCAAAATTGAAAATCATAAAAATGTTGTAATGGAATGCTGGCTTAAGCTGATGATTAAAGGGGTAAAATAGCAATTTTTGATTTGAAATGACAATTTTTACTTACTAATTCAGCTTGAAAATCCGCAATATGTAATTTTTAGTTTTTTGTATTTGAAATTGCTGTGCTAGACTTCAATTTACTTTTCTGCTTTTATTTTATTTGTTTTACACTTTTCCCTTTATTGTTAATTCGTTTTGAAATGAACTTTGGCGAAATAGGCAAATGCCGCATCTGGAATGGCTGTCCATGACGACTGTAAGCTCAAGTTTTTGGAGCTAAAGGCAAAGAGGAACTACAGATTCATTACCTTCAAGATTCAAGACCAGCAGGTGGTGATAGACAAGCTGGGACAACCTGAGGAATCCTACGAGGATTTCACTTCTTCTCTTCCTGAGAATGAATGTCGTTATGCAGTCTATGATTTTGATTTCACCACCGATGAGGATTGCCAGAAAAGCAAAATCTTCTTCATTGCTTGGTAATTATTAACTTGAATAATTTTCACTAATATATAGTTGCCAATACACAAATTAAGATGTACCAAAATTTAACTATATTATATGTTTCAGGGCACCTGATGCATCAAAGGTGAGAAATAAAATGG